GAACCTGATTCCTCCTCTCTGTCTGCCTCTCTGCCTACTTGTGATCTCTGTCAAATATAAAATCTTAAAAAAAAAAAAAAAGAAGAAGCGTGTAATATTCCAAGGGCGTGACCAGTGGGGACATTCACTCACTTCTGACATACTCACATTTGATAATTTCATGTATGTGGCAGAGGAAACAGGCAAGTGGGAAAAAAAAGTCAATTGCTACATTCTGACCCCATATTTGAGAGTGAAAGGGTCCAAATGAATACCTTTCAGATGTTAACATAGATTTATAACTCATCTAAAACCTTATAAGCAGATGTTCTAGATTATAAGAACCAAGTCTTACAGACTTTATAAAAACAATACCACTTAAAATATGTTATACGTTATCCTCTCTAGGATCTGGGGCAGTACATTGTCATTCAAACACATTAATGTTCCTACAGCAAAACATGGATATTCACACTAATTCTGGTCAAGTTTTAATGCCTGTTCAGGTTTTGGAAGCACATAAAGAGGATTATGGGCCTGTAACAAAACTGTATCCTTCTCACACTACTAGCCATATGCCTTGGTGCCTAGAGTCACTAAAACTGATCTTGGTTCGAACTGTTCTAAAAAAAAACAAAAAAAAAAAAACAAGAAAAACAACAACAAGCAAAAAAAACCCAAAGTGACCTACTGTACTCGGGACACAGGTTAAGTTGAGACTATCTGTTTTCCTGGAAAGCTGCTAGCCGTAGCCAAGAGACTCCATGACAATGAGTGGGGTTTGCTGGGTGGTAAGGTTCCAAGTGATGGTTCTTCCTACCAGTTCCCTCTGCAGTAAAATACTCTCACTTTTCCTAATTACAGAAAGAATTTTAAGGGCTACAGTGAGCACAAGACAAGGCTGGATCTCTTCCACCCAAAATGAGCAACAGGATATTAAAAAAAAAAAATCAGGCCCCCATTTCATGAACCAGGAGGGGGGAAAAAAAAAAAACCCCAAAGCCAAAGCCAGTACAGTTATGTTCCTAGTCAGCTTCATTAGGCTTCCTGAAAAAGTCAGCTTCAGAGGAAGTCTGAAAGCTGCTGAGCTCTATGGCTATCCAGATCGGCTTGTTGACTTGGGGGAAGCCACGGACCAAAACACAAAGGGAAGGAACTTGTACAAAATGGGGCGTGAATTCTCCTGGTGGCATTTTTCCCTGGCACTAGAGGAGAGAAACCCATGTCAGATTCCTTTCAATACCTGGTCTGAAGCCTGCCTGTACAAAGGCCATATCCTAAAGTAAATAGACTTGAGACACACTGACCCGCCAGATGAGACAAAGTTGCAAATCTCAGGTAGTTGTCACCTCCACTCAACAGCCAGCCGCACCCAACGCTGCCATAAATTTCCATCACGGACCCTGTCCGAAAAGGAGCTTATTCTAGGGAGACTATAACCAGCCAAGGCTCCAGAGGACAAAGCCTCAAACTTCCCAGGACTAGCAGTCACATGACAGACTCACCTTCTGCCTGCAGAGCGGCTCCTTCTTGCTCTCTTCGGCCTTTGCACCCTGCTGGGCAGCATCTTTGGGTGTGTTTACGGCTAAAACATCATTTATCGTGGAGCCAACTACCATGATCTTGGCTCCGCTGGTCACTTTTATTTCTCTCAACGTCTTATCCTCAGGGACGAGTCCCTTATACATGACTTTCTGCATGGCAGGGGGGAGACCTTGGGAAAAGGACACAATGAAAGGGAGGGATGAAAAATGTATCTGCGGCGCCTGGGGGGCTCAGTGGGTTAAAGCCTCTGCCTTCGGCTCAAGTCATGATCCCAGGGTCCTGGGATCAAGTCCCACATCGGGCTCTCTGCTTGGCGGGGGAGCCTGCTTCCTCCTCTCTCTCTGCCTGCCTCTCTGCCTACTTGTGATCTCTCTATCAAATAAATAAATAAAATCTTTAAAAAAAAATTAAAGAAAAATGTATCTGGACCAGAACTGTTCCGCAACAGACCTGGAAATGAATACTGCTCCAGCACCTTTGTGTGCTCAGGCAACTCACAACCTCTCTGAGCCGGTTTCCAAAATTTTTTAATTGTGATGGCAGGATTTCCTTCTGCGTAGACTTCTTTTAAGGATTAAGAAATAAAACAACATTTAGGGCAGTGTCAGGCATTAAGTCATCATTCGATAATGTTAGCTATCATTCATTCCAAGTTGTTCCTCAAGCCTCTGATGACACAAACACTGAGAATCCACAGGCCTCAGTTATACAGAAACCAGAAAGGATGAAGTTCTTGTTTTTACCATGTGCTCACAGGCTACAGAAAGCAAGCTTAAAAAAGAAATCATTTTAGTTGGTAAAGTGTTGTAAACGAGACAAGACTAAAAACTAAATGTGAGTATCTGTGAAGGGCCCAGCACCAGAGTCACCAGCAATGTTTCCTAAATTTCCCTTAACAGAATTACCCAAGATATTTGCTAAAAATAAATTCCTGGCCACATTCCAGATCCATTGAATCAAACTCTTCAGGGAAAAGGGTTAGGGGCTGTAAATTTAACATGTGCCTCAGATGATTTTCATTAGAGATGTCTGGGGCAGCACTGATTGGAAGCCTGGGCCTAAGAGTCAGACCCGGGCTGAATCTCGGCTCAGCCACTTTCTGGCTCTATCACCTTGGGTCTCATCTTCCCCATCTGAATAATGGACATACTAGTACTTACTCCGGAGAACTACTCTCAGCATTGAGGGAGCGGATGCAAAGAGAGTGGCCAGCGCGGTGCCTAGCACAGTGCGAGCACTAGAAGTCGAAAGGCGCGGTGGGGAAGGCTGCCTGTCGCTGGACATTACCACTGCGATTACCTGTAATCGAGTGAATCTTCTGTTTTAGCTCGGAGCCTGTGCTATCCAAGGGGAATTTCACGTCGTGCTTAGTCTTATTCCAGATGATCTTCAGGTCCACCAGCTCCCTGCCTGCGCCGCCGCCCGCATCCTCGCCGTTGCTGACCGAGGCCTGGGCCGCAGGGTCCCCAGGGGGCTGGGCCGGGGCCGGCTGCAGGCTACCTCGCGCCGCGCAGGAGTCCTCCGCTGCCGCCCCCGCCCCGGCTTCGGCCTCGACGCAGTTCAGGGGCCGCGCGGGGACCTCGGTCGCCACCGTCTCGGCCTCCGTGTCCATGCCAGGTTCCTCCATGCCTGCAAGGGGGTTAGGGGGTGGGCGCTCGCCGCAGGTTGGGCCTGGGACTGAACCCTGCTCGGGCGAGGCCGGACCTCCGCTTCCGAGCCAGGCTACTCTCCACCGGACCGGGCCGCATCCCCCCCCGGGGGCCCGCTTCACCTGGGCCCAAACAGGGCGCTCGCCACCCCCGCCACACTCACCATCCGGGGCTCCGGCCGCCGCCATGATGATTGTGTACAACACCCACCGCTCCCGCAGAGGCCGCTGGGAAAAAGCGAGCTAGCTGAGATTGGCCCCCGCAGCAGCCCCTAATCTCTCACAGCCTGGCCGGAAACAGGTGGACGTTTCTATGGAGACCCGCCTCCTCCGCTTCCCCGGTCCGGCCCCTGCCACGCTTTAGCTTTCGGGAGCCCAGGGGGGCGGGTCCGGGAGATCGCCCGCTCGATGAGCTCTGCCCCCTAGAGGCCGAGTGGGGTCGCAGCCGCGCTGGGGGGCGTGGACTTGCAAACTAGGAGAACTGCGCCTTTAAGGGGCGGGGCCGAGCCCTCTGTGGCAGAAGTGGATTGGCTGGGAGAGGCCCCGGAAGTGATGCACGGGGAGGCCCACGTGTGCGCTTCCATCCCACATGGCGGTGCTCCTGAAGAGGTTGCTGCAATCGGCGAGGCACCCTGCGGCCTCGGGCCGGCCCATGGGACGGCGCGATGCCAGCCTGGGCACTGATCCCGGGGGTGTGGTGCGAGTGCGGTTCGCCCCCAGTCCCACAGGTAACCTTGGCGGACGTGACGCTGCAGGTCGATGTCCACCGTCCCGTGCCCGCCCCCTGAATGTTCCCGGACGAATCCCTTCCGGTGGAGTCTGACGGGGGCGGCGGGGGGGGCGGGTGCAGCGAGACCCCATTTTACAGAGGCAGAAGCAGGTCCACGAACGGAAATTATTCACATAGCCAGGAAGTTCTTTGTGTACTATCTCTTTAGGTCTCTCCTTCGTGTATTCAGTAAATGTGTATCGAATACAGAATACAGACCGTGTACTAGGTACTGTTCTAGGCGTTGGCATACAGTGGGCACGCACGGCTCCTGTTCTCAAGAAGCCTACACTGTAGTGGCCGCGACAAACAACGTGTAAAAGTAACTACCTTTAGGCAATCACATGTGCCATGTGAGAAATGAAGCAGGGTGGGGACCCGACGGTTAGGTAGGAAGCTCAGAAAGGCCTTGTTGAGGACGTAGCATTTGAGCTGAGAACCAAAAGACAAGGTGGCCACCCGGAAGCCTGTAGGAGGAAAGAGGAAGTTGCAGGTGCAAGGCCCTGTGGGTTAGTGGTGTTGGTGCTCAGCAAGCCAGAGAGTGAGGCAGGAGGCTCATTGTTTACCCTAGGGGAGATCTTGTTAGGGCCTCCCCGCTAGTTCCCCTGGTTTTTTTCTCAGGGAGTCCGCCACCTGCCCTCTGAACACGGAGCGTGCCTCTCATTCTGGACCTTAGGGTCCGCATGTAAGGCTTCCTGTGTGACAAGATCCCAACGACACAGAGTAACAGAATCTTTCACTGCAGGCAGTCGGGTGCAGAGGGGGCTTCTCAAATCATTGTGACAGGACTGGTTCTTAATTCCCAAATGATTATGGATCAGTATTTTAATAGAACCAATATAAATGAGTAAGAGGGGAAATATTAAAACCATACAAAATGTGAGCCTATTTTTATTAGATTCGCCGATACAAAGTTACTCTGTCAGATTGCTATTAAGTTTGTAAACGTTTGTTCTCTATTTCTATTTGTGGTTGTGAACTGGCAACAGTTTGCCGACCAGCACTGGTCTGCACTTTCTTTGCAGAGCACTCATAGTAGTTGAGTGCCAAAGCCTGAGATTGTTGGGTCCAGATTGCTGGTTTTGCCACTTCTCAGCTGTGTGACATGGGCAAATTACATAACCTTTCTGAGCTTCTGAGCTTTACCCTCTGTCAAACACGGCTAGTGATGATACCTGCCTCATGGCTTTGTGTTAATGCAGCTGAGGCACTTCGCAAGGACTGGTACTCCTAGAGCTTAATAAACAATATTCTCTATTATAGTTCTCATTTTCCTTGCTGATTTGCATACAGAAAAGGCTGTTGACTACAGACAGATAAAAGAATTATCAAGCAACTGAGATCACTAATTGCTAAAATTAATGGAAAGCTATACTTCGATCAACATTTAGGTCTCCCAACAACTGTGTAAAGGAGGTTTCCATTTTTTGTTTTTAATCTCTAACAGATGAGACTAAGCTCAGATCAGTGAAGTAGAGTGCCCAAGGGATAGCAACCAATAAATGGATGCAGAATTTAAATCCACGTTTATTTGATTTAAGAGATCTTTCTTTCAATTACCGAACCCCCATCTTCCATCTTGGGGACCACTGATTTTGTGGTAGCTTTGCGATAACTAGCAGAAAGTCACACATAATCAGTGTTGAATGGGAGTTTACCTGACTACAGAAAAGCCTTTCGTGTCCTGTGCTGCATCCTGTTCCTGTAAATGCAGAGAAGCTCATCGTGAAGACAGGGCTGTAGCCTGGACAAGAGAAGACAGGATAAGGGGAAATGGCAAAATGCTTAATGTGAATCTTTCAGTCAGGAATGATGGAAAGGTAAAATCTTAGGAGTTTGAACTCAGGTGAAGAGTAATACGGTAGAATCAACTATTACTTTTGCTTAGCAAACTTCAGATGAAAATCAGAGTATATGCAAAACGTAATTGTATGATATCTTCAGTTTTTAATTAATTTTTTTTTTACCCAAGCACATTGTTGAATTTGCACACATTAAGTGCGCATGTGATATGGTTTCCGTGGATAATCCTCTGCTTGTCCTCATTTGTGTAAAACTTGGCCTTGAAGCAAATCTCAAAATAGAACAGTGGGTACAGCTGGGGAGAGTGGGAGTCTTTACAACATCACAGGCTGTAAGACATGTCTGCTACTTCCAGGATGAGGGGCTAAGCGAGTGGACCACTCCTGTCCTCTGTGGCCATCTGACTCAGTCCTGGTTAGAAAGATGGGATGGGGTAGCTGTTTTTTGAGCTTTGATACTCCCTGGGACATCCTGTTACAAGCGGGGCTTGCTTGTCAGTTCATCTTCCCTGTCTTGTCTGAGCTGTTCTCTTCTTTTCCCAGGTTTTTTGCACCTGGGCGGCCTCCGCACTGCCTTGTACAACTATATCTTTGCCAAGAAGCACCAGGGGAGTTTCATCCTTAGGCTGGAGGACACGGATCAGACCCGCCTTGTGCCTGGGGCAGCGGAGAATATTGAGGACATGCTGGAGTGGGCAGGTGAGGCAGGCTGGGGAAGGACCCTCCTCCAAAGGGGAAGAGGGAGCAGGGAAAGGAGCCTGTAGGTCTTCTCATGGGGCCCAAGATGGAGATTGAGGACTTCCTGGAGAGATAGGTACATTTGTGCTGCCTCGGGTGGCATGTGCCTACCTAAAACATGCTGAAGCTCCCTGAGGAAAAGCTCCGAGGCTGTTCTGAGGTTCCTGTTCTTAACTCAGGATTTCAGGTCCTGCTGGGAGCCGACAGGAAACACAGGCCAAGCATAAGATGGAGCTGGGGAGGCGAGGCCTGTAGTGAGCAGGAGAAAGCTCCCGCCTCCTGTTCCTGTGTGGGAATGCTGGCCTAGTTTGTTCAATCTTCTCACTTCCCAGAGGAGCCAGAAAACTAGGTTTTTATTACTTTTTTTTAATGAATACTTAGCATTGTTAAACTTGAGCCCAGATTTTTTTTTTTTTTTTTTAAACCACATTGTGTGAGCCAAACAAAATGTGTGCAGCCTCTAAAATCAGTCTTAGGGGACATTTAATCCAGAGGCCTCCTAGACACCAGGAGGACAAGGAGGAGTGTATGTTCCCTGGGTCAATAGTCGTCTGTCTGTCAGGGCAGGTATAACCAGTTAAGCTCCACAAGGAAAAATACCAAGACTTTTATGAGATGTGTATCTTATTCTCAGGTAAACTATTAACGAGACTTTGGGTTCTCAAAGGGCAGTCACCAATTTCTTTTGTACCTTCTGTTATAGAATGTTATAGTAGATGCTTAATAAGGATTAGTTGAATAGGAGCATCTGGGTGGCTCAGATGGGTAGGCATCTGCTTCCAGCTCAGGTCCTGATCCTGGGGCCTGGGGATTGAGCCCCATGTCAGGCTCCCAGCTCACCGGGGCGTCTGCTTCTCCCTCTCCCTCTGCCTCCCTCCCCTGCTTATGCTTTCTCTCTCTCAAATGAATAAATAACATTTAAAAAAAAAAAAACCAATTACTTGAATAAAGGAATTCATTCACGAAGATCACTTACTATAATGAGGGTCCTGTTCCAGCACTGAACAGAGACCAGTGCCCAGTAAATAGGGGAGGACAGATGAACAGATTAATTTCTCCTCACCGCAACATTAAGTGTTGATGACTGCTGTGGAGACAAGGGTAACAGGTTGGGGAACTGGCAGTGAAGGATGCTGTCTCAGTCAGGGTGGTCTTCTCGGAGGAGACGACCTGAAAGCACGAGATTGCACAGTGAAGGGCCAGCCCTGTGGTTACCTGGCGAAGACTGTTCAAAACAGAGGGCAGAGCAGATAGGAAGGCCCTGCTGCAGAAAAGTGTAGGGTGTGTTAGAGGAGCGGCGAAGACGCCCGTGTGGCCCAAGCACAGTGAGAGGAGCAGAGGGACTGCGGATGTGAAGACGTGTTGGCCAGAGCCAAACCAAGTAGCACCAGGCAGACCAGGATGAAAACTTGGATTTCAGGGTGTGCCTGCTACCCGTCAGGCGCTGTACTAGACACAAGCGGTACAGTGATGAACAGGTCCCGCCCTCTGAGCCCCTGGTGTGGCACAGTTCCGTGAGCATGGCCTGCAGCGCCTCAGCAGAGCTCCCCACACCACCCCCTAGCCTTGTGGTGAGGCAGAGGGAGTGGCTGATTTCTATAGTTTCCTGCTTCAGGAGTCACCCTGTGTTTTTTGTTTTTTGGTTTGTTTTTGTTTTTGTTTTTTTGTGGGGTTTTTAAATTATTGTTACTATTTTGTAATTGACATATAATTCACCTGATAGGAAATTCACCATTTCAACGTGTACAAATCAGTGGTTTTTTAGTGTATTCACTATGGTATGCCCCCCATCACCAGTACCCAATTTCAGAACATTTCCATCCTTCCAAAACAAAATCCTGTCCTATGAGCAGTCACTCCCTATTCCTGCTTCCTTTCAACCCCTGGCAGTCGCTAATCTATTTTCTGTCTGTGCAGTTTGCCTATTGTGGACATCTCAGGTAAATGAAACCGGATAATACATACTTTTAGTGACTGGCTTTTCCTTAGCAGAGGGGGTTCGGTGCTGTAGCACATGTCGCTACTTCATTCCTCTTTGTGACCAAATAATATTCATTGTATGAAAATACCACCTTCTGTTCGTCATTGGTTGGGCATTTGGATTATTTCCACTTTTTTGACTTTTTTTTTTTAAAGATTTATTTTAGAGAGAGCAAGGAGAGAGGCAGAGGGAGAAAGAGAATCTCAAGCAGGTTCCCTGCTGAGCACAGAGCCCAACTCGGGGTTCAGTCTCATGACCCTGAAATCATGACCTGAGCTGAAATCGAGAGTCGGACGTGTCACTGAGCCACTTGGGCGCCCCACTTTTTAGAGTCCAATGAATGGAATTGCTGTGAACGTTTACATACTAGTTTTTAACCTGAACATACATTTTCATTTCCCCTAGTGGAACCACTCTTAAGCTCTGGGGCGTTCCAAGTGCTGAACATGTTATGGTTAGGCCACAAAGGGGCTCCCACATCTTCAGGATCCCTCCACACAGCTTCTCAGATGCAGAACCAGGGGTCCAGCCAGGGCTTGCCGGGTTGTGCCCCAACCCACGCTTCCTTCTCCTGAGGACTGTTCCAGGCCTGGGCTGCTCTCCTGCGCCCCGGGGACCGATGGATGGAAAGGAAGCGCAGTCAGGAGCATGGACTGCAGAGGTGCCTCCGTGATTGCTCATCTGTCGGGCCCCACGACCTTGAGCCCTTAGCCTCTTTTATCTCTCAGCTTATCTGTACCAGGAAAATCACAATAGTAATGACCTTGAGGATTGCCCTGAGGATCACAAGCTTTCCTGTATGCCTGCAGCACATCAGACGGTGCCCAGGAGGCAGTGCTGCAAGCATCTTCATTATTAGTATTTGTTTTTTAAAGCTTTTTATTTATTTATTCGACAGAGAGAGACAGCAAGAGAGGGAACACAAGCAGGGAGAGTGGGAAAGGGAAAAGCAGGCTTCCCGCCGAGCAGGGAGCCCAATGTGGGGCTCGATCCCAGGACCCTGGGATCATGACTGAGCCGAAGGCAGACGCTTAATGACTGAACCACCCTGGTGCCCCCATTATTAGTATATGGTGATCATGGTCTCTTGCTGTGTCACAGGCATCCCGCCTGATGAGAGTCCCCGCCGGGGAGGTCCTGCTGGGCCCTACCAGCAGTCCCAGCGTCTCGAGCTCTACGCCCAGGCCACAGAAGCGCTGCTGGAGTCTGGCGCCGCTTACCCCTGCTTCTGTTCACCGCAGCGGCTGGAGCTCCTGAAGAAGGAGGCCCTAAGGAACCACCAGACGCCCCGGTGAGAGTCCTGGCCTCTCAAGGTTGCTTCCCCAAAGTTGTGTATGTACCTGGGCTGTTGCTGCATAACAGATCGCCCCCAGACTGTGGTCACTGCATGGCCTATGTGGGTCAAGGGCCTGGGCTCAGCCTAGCCAGCTCCCTCGGCTCAGGGTCTCTTGCAAAGCTCCAGTCAAGGTTCTGGCCAGGTTTGCGGTTTTCTCCACGCTTGGCTTGTGGAGGATCTGCTTCTTTTTCTCTCGTGAGGCTGTTGGCAGACCTCGGGCTGCGCTGGTTGTTGCCAGGAGATGGCAGCTCCTTGCCATGTGGGCCTGTGCACAGGGCAGCTCCCGGCACAGCAGCTGACCTCTCTTTGAGTGAGTCAGACAGAAAGCAAAAGAAAGCAAGCAAGACAGAAGCCAGAGTCTTTTTGTAACCAAATCGAGGAAGTGACATCTCATCACTTCTGCTGCATTCTGTTCGTAAGAAGGCAGCCATAGGTCCAGCCTGCACTCCAGAGAAGAGGGGATGCCACGGGGGCAGAAATCCTGGAGAAGGGGCTCACGGAGGCTGTTGGCAGAGCTGCCTGCCACATTAGCTCTCGGGCAATACTAATGTGTCATTGCAATTATTGGTTGTTCTGAGGAAGTAAAATGTTTTCAGGTCCAGAGAGATAACAGATGCAGAGATCTTTCCGAACCCTGACTCTGGCCACTTAGTTGCCCTTGCCATAGACAAATGGCTATTAGAAGTTTCTTAAGTCTCCTCCAGAGACGCTCCACGTAGACCCTGAGAAAAGACCCGTTCCAATGCAGCATACAATATGCAGACTGGGCAACTTAACCGTTCCCACTTACCATCTCGAGGAGACCCAGTCTGTACTGGCCCATAGACTTTTTCTTAGGCTTGGGCAATATTCCGCTGTACAGAGGTACCTGCCCTTAACCAGTTTCTTACTAGGGAATCTTTCTGCTATTTTTAATCTGTAGTTCTAACAGAAGAGCTGGGGTGGATCATGGGGACATACATCGTTGTGTGCACATGCAGAGCATTTGTTGGAGACCTTCCCAAATGCGGAACTCCAGGGCCAGTTTGGAGCTTTGATAGACACTGGCCCTGTGGCCCTTGACCACCTTGCTTCCTATCAGCAGTGGCTGCAGGACACCTGAGTTCTAGTCATTTATTTATTTATTTGGTTGGTTGGTTTTAAATAATTTTATTTTTGTTTATTTTTTTATTATTTTTGTTTGCGAGAGAGAGTGCATGGGCATGTGCATACAGGGAGGGTGGGTGGATGGGCAGAGAGAGAGAGAGAGAGAAACCCAAGCAGACTGCACGCTGATCATGGAGCCCAATATGGGGCTTTATCTAGTGCCCCTGAGACCAAGACCTGAGCTAAAATCGAGAATCAGATGCTTGACTGGCCGAGCCACCCAGGCACCCCTATTTTTAAAGAATTTTAAAAACTTTTTTTAAGTTTATTTAAATAATTTCTATATCCAGTGTGGGGCTTAAACTCACAGCCCCCAGATCAGGAGACATACATTCTCCTGACTGAGCCAAGGCTCCGCATGCCCTGTGGGGCTTGAAGTCACGAACTTGATATCAAGAGTCGCACTCTCTACGCACTGAGCCAGCCAGGTACAGCTCTGAGTTCTAGTTTAAATGAACCATTTGGACAAGGGCTGGGTGTATGTACAAGGTCAAGACATTCATTGCAGCCTTGCTCTTTTTTTTTTTTTTTTAAGATTTTATTTATTTATTTGACAGACAGAGATCACAGGTAGGCAGAGAAGCAGGCAGAGAGGAGAAGGAGAGGGAAGCAGGCTCCCTGCTGAGCAAAGAGCCTGATGTGGGGCTCAATCCCAGAACCCTGGGATCATGACCTGAGCCGAAGGCAGAGGCTTTAACCCACTAAGCCACCCACGTGCCCCTCATTGCAGCATTGGTCTTTTATTATAAACAGCCTACTTGTCCGTTGGCAGAAGGTTCTCTTTTAAAATCATCGTCAAGTTCTGTCATGGAATTCATGCAGCCATTTACTGATTGAACACTTAGCTCTGTGTTAAGGAGGATGTTTTCAAGCTTTACGTTTTCTATCAGGATGCTTTGGGGAGTAAGTAATGGAATGCCCTGTGGAAAAGGGACAAACCAGGGGCACCAGGCTGGCTTGGTTGGTGGAGCACTCGACTCTTGATCTCAGGGTCATGAGTTTAAGCCCCATCCCGGGGGTAGAGTTTACTTAAAAAAATAAAGAAAAAAAAAAGAGACAAGCCAGAGTTTCTCATACTTTAACATGCAGACAGCTCACCTGGGGATCTAGTCAACACACAGACTCAGATCCACCAGGTCTGGGGTGGGGCCTGGAATGCTGCATTTCGGACATGCTCTCTAGTGGGGCTGCTTCTGGGGGTCCACAGACCATACTTGGAGTAACCAGGGCATAACCGACAGACACTTACCACTTACTTTGCAGAAATCTGGAGGTGAGGCAACAGCTCTTTTCTGCCCATGGGTCCTATCCCTGTGCTTTAATAAGACCACCTTTTTGCACCCCAAAAAAGAAAAAATGTCTGGAGGTGAGAGACTCAAGGATAAAACCAGCCGCTTCAAGACATCAGAGCTGTATTTTGGCTCCTCCCCTCCTCCCCTGCCCCACCCCTGATCTGTTGTACGGGGCTGCAGTGGCCCCAAGCATCTCTCCTCATAGGACAACAACTAAAGAGCACAGAAGCGGAAGGCAGGGAATAACAAAGGGGATTGTCCTCTTGTGGCTTTCACTCTTACCTGGAGAGAAAATCTTCCCGAGGACCCTAACCTCCCCTGCCCCCAAGCAGATTTTACCTGAGTCTCAGTGAGTATAGTGGTCTTGCCTGGCCCAGCGGCTGGCATGGGGGAAATAGATTACACGATCGGCTACACCAGCAATGATTCTACCCCTGGGACTCGGCATTTCACCATTTCCTCGCTAACAAAGAAGAGGGACAGGTTGGCAGGTAGGCATAAGTGTCTGCCATGCTGTTATCTCACTCGGTTTTCCGACATAGCCCTCTTCTTATGCCTGTTCAAGACTGGAAAAAAGGCTAGAGAAGTAAACGACTTGCCAACCTTATCTAACTATCAGAGATGAAGACAGAACTCACCTGTGTCTTTGGTACCCCTAGCTACTGTGCTGCTCTGCTTCCTGACAGGTATGACAACAGGTGCCGGAACCTGAGCCAGGGGCAGGTGGCCCAGAAGCTAGCCCAAGGCCCCAGACCTGCGATCCGCTTCCGCCTGGAGGGGGAAGCGCCAGCCTTCCAGGACCTGGTGTATGGCTGGAATCGGCATGAGGTGGCACATGTGGAGGGGGACCCAGTCATCCTGAAAAGCGATGGCTTCCCCACGTATCACCTGGCCTGCGTGGTGGACGACCATCACATGGGCATCAGCCACGTGCTGCGTGGGTCCGAGTGGCTGGTCTCCACCTCCAAGCATCTGCTTCTCTACCAGGCCCTGGGCTGGCAGCCTCCTCGCTTTGCCCACCTGCCCCTGCTGCTCAACAGGGATGGCAGCAAGCTGTCCAAGAGGCAGGGGGACATTTTCCTGGAGCATTTTGCGGCTGCCAACTTCCTGCCAGATGCCTTGCTTGATATCATCACCAACTGTGGCTCGGGGTTTGCAGGTACCCACCCCTGGGAGGTCCCAGTATCAAGGAACTGGGGCTTTGGTTCAGGCCTGCCTGGTCCTCAGCCCCGGCTGTGCCACCTGCAGCCTGCCCAAGTTCATTCTTGTGTTTATTGAGCCAGAAATTGTGTTAAGTGCTGGGGCTACAATAGTGAGCAAGATAGATGTAATCCCTGCTCTTAAGGAGCTATGGTCTCTGAGCCTCGTCTGCTTCATCTATAAAATGGGGATAAGTGACTCCCTCATAGGGTTAGGATGCACTGAGTTCATGAGTACGAGACAGCCAGCCACGCAGTAAGGACGAAAATTACAGGTCTTCCCCCCCCCTTTTTTTAAGATTTTATTTATTTATTAGAGAGCATGAGCCAGGAGGAGGGGGAGAGGGAGAGGGAAAAGCAGACTCCCCACTGAGAAGAGCCCAAGGCAGGGCTCAATCCCAGGACCCTGGGATCATGACCTGAGCCGAAGGCAGCCGCTCAACCAACTGAGCCACCCAGGCCCCCCAAAAATTACAGATCTTATAATGATGACAATTATATTACTACCACCGTGGCAAGTATAAGTTCCAACAGTATTACGAAGCTTACTATGACCCTAGTTTACTCCAGCTGAGCCTCTATTTGGCCCAAGACTTAGAACCCAAAGGTTAAAGAAGCAGAAGATTAGGATGACCTCTTTGTGGAAGGGATTTCTGAAGATGTGGCAGTGGTAGTCTGCTTACTGTTCATTCTGCTGTTACCTGGTTTGCTCCTTGAAATATCCTTGGGAGGTATTTATTATCACTGCTATTTCTAAGAGGATTGAGCGGCTCAGAGAGGTTTACTAAAGTCACAGAGCCTGTAAGGGACATGGCAGAGGCCCCCTTGAGGCCCGGGCCTGACCAAGCTGCCCACCGACTGTATGGGGTGGGGCTGCTGCTCGGGAGGAGGGGCTCCCAGCAAAGTAGTTCTCAACCCTGCCTGTGCTTGGGAGTCTCCCGGGAGGCCTATAAAGTGCACTGATCCTCAGACTGCATCCCAGACCAGCGGAATCACAGTCTCCAGGCACTGTTGTTCCTGCGGCTCGAATCTCTGGGGGCAGTGAGGGTCATTTAGCCTGATTGTTTTCAAACTTGTTTCTTTCTGAGTGACAGAATCCTTTCTGCAAATGAGAGCTCATTCGAGCGCTTGATCTAGAAAAGAGCTAGAAGTTAAATCCCTTCGGTTGGAATGCAGTGGGGAGCCCGGAAGGTGCTCACCCAACCTGCCTTGTGACTGAAAGGAGAGGCAGGGGGCTGAGGCTGGGCATGTCTGCTTGCAGAGAACCAGATGGGCAGGACCTTGCCGGAGTTGATAACACAGTTTGACCTGACCCGAGTCACCTGCCACTCAGCCCTGTTGGACCTGGAGAAGCTTCCAGAATTCAACAGGTAAGTGGAACCTGTGGTGGGGGGCGACTGGTAGAAAAGGGCTTTCTCACTGATGATGGGTTCCCGGGGCAGAGGGTCTAGCAAGCTTTGGAGTCACGTGGACCTGATTTGACTGTGGGCTCAGGTGTCTAACATTCTGTGACCTGACACAGAGTTTGTAAGTCACCTAACCTCCCTCTCTTTCCTCTTCTCGAACATGGGGCTGATAACAGGACCCACCTTGTGCAATTGTCTTAAGAGTTCAGTTAAATTAAATGTTGCGTCAAAGTACTTGCACAGCCTCTGGCACATAGAAAGTGTTCAGTAAATGGTAGGTGCTATTTTTGTCATTACTATTGTCCCACCCATCCCGGGCCTGGATTCTGTTAACCACGGCCTGGACAAGGGGGATCTTCATCTTGGAATCACCCCCCACCTCCCTCAGCCAGCAGTGAATGAGCACTGTCTCACGGCACCTGTTGTACATTTCACGTAGTTCTTCACTCAAACTTCTAAACCCAGTTACGGTTCAGATCACTGTTGACATATCCATCTAAGGGCCTCAGTGGTAAAGCCAGCGGACAGAGGTGTACTTAAGGGACAAGGGACGTGTCCGTCTCCTGAGCACTGGTTTGGGGACAGGCTTCTCAGTGCTTTACTTGCGTGAGCCCAGAGAATTCACATTGACTGCAGGTGTTTTAAGGATATTACTTCATTTATTTCTACCATTGGGCTTCTAAGGTCGGTTGCCTGACTCAGCTCTATTTTGTAGATGCGGAAACTGAGACCTAAGGCAGACCCATGACTAGCCCAAGTTCACACAGTAAACAGCAGGCATCTCTCGAGTGGGGCATTCAGGAGCGAATGTAACTTGTACGCTACCTGATTATAGGGGAAGCAGTATCTCGGGGAAATGGAGACAGGATGGGGGAGATAGCTGGTGACCCATTCTAGTCCCCCCGGAGCATGAGGGCATCCAGAGGAAGGTAGAGGTGGGTTTTGCTCAGTATGAATCAGGGAGGAGATGCAGTGTTGGAACCGATGGCTGGGGGTCTAATGCAGGAAAGCTGTCACATTTAGATGTTTCTAGTATCAAGCCACTGCTGTGATTATGTCAGTGCTAGTAGTAAAGGCAGTAATAGCTGTCACAGCAGTCCTAGAGGTGCGGTGGGAGTAGTAACAGTAAAGACCATCTGTTTAGCACTTCTGCCTCCCGGGCCCTGGACCGGATGCGTGTTATCTCAAGCTTGGCCACTAGGGTCCCTTGATTGCTTGCTTTCTACTGTCTCATCTTGCTGCTAAGGCAGTCTTAGGAACAGTTTCAGCATGTGGTATTAATTCCTTTTTTAGAAAATCGTTTTGTTTTTCGGAGAGTTGTGTGCTCTAGATAGCTTCCCAGAGGGTCTTCTCCTTCCACCACTGACATGCGGGAGCCTCTGTTCCGACTCCCTGCCCACCTCCAGTGGCCTTGCGCTCTGTGCTTTACAGATGGTCCCTCATTTAATCTGCACAGTGCCCTGTGATGGAGGCCCCCAACCCCACATCACCCCCACGTGATTGGCAAGTATCCTGAGGCTCTGAGCGTGCGTGTAACTTGCTGCAGACATCTCACAGGGCTGGTCTGATCCATAGGCCTGTCCGGTTCCAGAGCCCAGGAGGTACCCACCGCTGCTGCCAGCCTTCCACGCCAGGGACCAGGGCGAAGTGCCTGCAGATTGGTCCTCAGGTCCTTCTGACATTGCTGGGGGCAGGGTGAGGGCAGCCTAGGGAGGGGACTGAGGACTCACAGTGCCTGCTTGGAGGCTTTGCTGCTTCCAGAGAGGGAACAAGGCAGGAGAATTCTGGAAAGGAGAACATTCGAACTGATAAGAAAACCTGAACTTTTTAACTCTGAGCCCTGGATTGAAGCAGATCTGTCCTCCAAACTGTCCCCTGGCTTTGAATCCTCCAAATCCGTATTCTTGACCTCTGCCTTTTTGTGCCAGAGCCTCCTGCTTAGAGCTGTGCCAGGAGGCAACACCGGCAGAGTCTGTCTTGTAAATTCAGGTGTCTGTAGAGGCCAGGCTGGCAGCACAGGGGAGGGTGGCCACCTGGAGAGGCCCTGGGGAGCAGAGGGCTGGGCAGACTGGAGTGTTCTGTGTCTGTGAGCCGGGCCTTCTCCACTCCATGCTGGCCACTGAAGCATGAGGAAGGCATGCCCTTTGCAGCCAGATCTTCAAATTTCCTGAGAGAGGCCAGAAATCTCTATTTTTATGTGATCTCTTCCTAGTTTAAAATGTTAGCTCCTATTTTAGAAACAATGAAAACAGGATATCTCTCTGGGTTGCTTGGGACTCTCAGGCTGCTGCAGACCTTGGCCAGATCCCGTTCCTGTATATTGTTTCCAGGGTGTGGGAGGGGCAGCTCACATAATGTGTCATCCTTCCACCCCCACCAGCTCCCCTGCAGGAAGAGGGTTTGGGGCTGGTGATGCCAGAGTCAGGACAGTCCCTTGGCCTCTCTTACAGGCTGCATCTCTGTCGGCTGGTGAGCAGCGAGACCCAGAGGCACCAGCTGGTGGGGAAGCTGCAGGCCCTGGTGGAGGAGACGTTCGGGAACCAGATTCAAGACAGGGAGGTCCTGGCCCCAGCCTACGTGGAAAGGATCATCCTGCTGAGACAGGTGTGGCATTGGGGAGTCCCAGGAGATTGAGGGAGTGACTGGTGCCCCTGTCACTGCCTGTCCTGGTGCATTGGAGCCCTGTCCACAGCGCTCCCAGTGACTGCCTCTTACCCCCCACCCAGGGTCACATTTGCCGCCTGCAGGATCTGGTCTCGCCAGCACACTCCTACCTGTGGACTCGCCCTGCAGTGGGCCGAGCACAGCTGGGCCCCCTCTCAGAGAAGGTGGATGTGATTGCCAAGCGTGTGCTAGGGTGAGTTCCTACAGGCCAAGCCCAAGGCTCCGCACCCGACTTTCCTCTCCCTCCCAGGACCCTCCTTCTTCCAGAGCTGACTGTGAGGTACCCACACCAGCCACCATAGCTGCCAAGAGGGTCTGGACAGAGCTGACTGGCTCTGTTTGGAAGAGAGGCTTCCCCAGAGGACCCCAGACCCTCCCCGAAAGGGGTGGCATGTTTGGGCTTTGGGGTTGGGTTCCTGTGGCTTCCCTCCCAGTACCGCCACTTACCCGGTTATTCTCCTGCCCACGTGGCATCGCTGTGGCCAATTTACCACACCTCTTTGAGCTCCCACTTCCTCGTCTCCAAGGTAGAGATAACACTATAATCCTTACCGTGATAGGAACAGAAGTACAACCAAAGCTGGCTTAAGCCCAGCCTCATGCAGGAGCCAAAAATGTGTCATCAAGACCTCCTTTTTCTCTCTGTCCCTTTGACCTTCTGTTCCACACTTCTCCATGCTGGCTCCTTCCTCTGCAGGGAGTCTGTGCTGGGTGGGTGGAGGGTGGGACTGTCTACCAGACAACACTTACCCATGTGGAAGTGGCCATCCAAGGCTGAAGAGCTTTTCCCATGTCTCAAGGATCTTGCTGTCCCTAGATTTCACTCTGGTCTACGTGGTACATGGTGGCTCACAGATCATCCACAATTCAGCCAGAACAAGAAGGAAGAAAAGGGAAGGACAGGACACTCCTTCCCCTTCCAGACCTGACTTAAGGGTTACACGTTCATTTCTGCCTGTATCCCGCTGACTAGAACGCCTGTCTTGGCGGCCATAGCAAGCCACAGGGGAGTTTGGAAAATGTCAATTTTTTTTAACTTGGCAGCCATGAGGCTGGCAAAAAATTTTCTCTCTGCCTATGAAAAGGAGAAAGGCTGGAAGGGAACATTAGTAGCCTCTCGTATCTGCGCCAACACCACAGAGCCTCAGCTGTGTCTTGCAGTGAGCTCCGACGGAGCCTGGTTAGCCTCGTTTTCCTGTCTCTGAACCAGTCATCTAAGCCTGAAGAGCGTAACGTACCAATCAGTGCAGGTTCGCTTATCCTTATCCTGGGTTCTAAATGGACCCCCAGCCAGGGCACATGGGCTGAGAATGGGAGCCAGGCGATTCCCCAAGAAGATTTGGGCTATCAGGAGGAAGGCAGATGGATGGTGGGCAGCAAAACCCACAGTGTCCTCTTTACTTATCTCCTCCCGCCTTAATTGCAGAGATTAAAGTAGGTAATAAGTGTTTTCTTGTGGACATGCCCTCAGTGGGCTGTTTTATACATTCTGTACATTAAGTACATAGATTCATGCGAGGGCCGTGTGTGTGTGTGTGTGTGTGTACACTTAAATTCACAGCAACCTAATGAGGTAGCAGGTTAAAATGTTATCCCCATTTTATAGATGAGAAAATCAAGACACAGAGAGGCTAAGTAACTTGTCTACAATAATAGTAAGTTGGAGGAGCAGGGATTCAAACCCAAACCTTGTAGGCTGGGCCTACAAGGCCTTATGTTTCTCTGCAAAGTGTTTGGAAAGTGCCTGATTCCCGGAAACCTTAAAATATTGTTATAATACACATTTAGAAGTGATAAGAAAATAAACATGCAGCCAAAAATACAGTAACATACAAATGGTACAAGAAGGTCTATAGCAGAAATGTGTTGTTTGTCCTCCTCTAGCCCCCAACAGAAATGCACCACCCTTAGCAGTTTCCTTTGCGTAATGTCAGTATTCAACCATATGGGTATATGACTCCATTCTTAGAAGTTCTTAAATTTTAGATGTAATATTTTGATTAGGAACACATTCAAATCTCTCAAACCTGGGTCTAAAGCCTAGAAAGTATAAAAAAGGTAAATAATTGGGAAACCCATTTTTATCCTTGTTCCCCATCCACCTAGTTCCAGAACCCTCTGTACATAAATCTAAATTTATATAAAGGATCCTTTTTTTTTTTTTAAGAGTTTATTTATTTATTTGACAGAGAGACAAAGAGAGAGCACAAGTAAGCAGAGCGACAGGCACAGGGAGAGAGAGAGAAACAGGCTCTGTGCTAAGCAGGGAGCCTGATGCGGGGCTCGATACCAGGACCCTAGAATTATGACCTGAGCCAAAGGCGGCCGCTTAACCAACTGAGCCACCCAGGCGCCCCAAGGATCCTTCTTTTTTACACAAAAATACAGTAACACTTTGCTGTGTTTCTGGTTTGTTGTCTGTTTCACTTAAGATACTTGTGGATCAGGGGCGCCTGGGTGGCTCAGTGGGTTAAAGCCTCTGCCTTCAGCTCAAGTCATGATCCCAGGGTCCTGGGATTGAGCCCCACATCGGGCTCTCTGCTCAGCGGGGAGCCTGCTTACCCCCTCCTCTCTCTCTGCCTGCCTCCCTGCTTGCTTGTGATCTCTGTCTGTCAAAAAAAAAAAAAAAAAAAAAAGATACTTGTGGTTCTGCTCAGTGCTTAGAGATAATTCTGATTGTTTTCTGCAGCTACACCAATCCCATTATGAAACCACATTACCATGATTTATTTAACTCGTTTCCTACTGATAGACATTTGGACTGCTTCCAGATTTTGCTGTTACAAACAATGCTGCAGTGAATAGCCACGTATAGACATCATTAAGCAGGTTTGCAAGTGTATCTCCAGGATTAATTCCCAAGAGCCATTATTATTAATACTCCTTTAATTTAGGGCATTCCACCATAGGGGCTCTAATTCACCAGGACCATTGCCTTAACTCCCCATCCCTGCCACAGGGTTAGGTTTCAGAGACAGTCTGAGGCTCCCACTCAAGGCAGGAAAACCAATACCCAAGCATTCCAGAGCTGCCAGATTTCTCGACGTCCCTTCTGTGCCCACGCCAAGCTCTGGGCCAGCTCTCACGTCTCCTGAGCTGCCATTGTTGGCCACTTGGGGCCTGTCACTCTTTGACCAGCTCCTTGGCAGCCTGCTTCCCCACAGTGACGTGGAGAAGAATACCTGTTTTTTCCCACATTACGTTTTATGTTTTCTGTATTTTGTCTCCTGGATTTTGGAAGGAACAGTCATCACATGGCCCAGTTAATAATGCGGCAAGAATGGTTACTTTTGCATCCTGTTGGAACTCAGTTGCTCAAATACTAGAGTTAGGGACGGAATCTGTCAGGACGCAGCGGCGGTCTCTTCACGTTCCTGCCGAACACAGCCCTCCGCACAAAGCCCGGCCCTGGAAGGGGGCTCCCTGGACCCCGATGTGCGCAGGCGGCATCACAGTCGGCCTCGTGGATCATCCATGCCGGCAAAGCTCTCCGGCCCCAGCTCCTGTGCAGCATTTCCAGTTTGGAGTCCCCATAGTAGCCAGAGGAAACTGGGACGGTGCCAGCAAACAGACCCACCCCACCCTGTTCCTGTCCTTTGCTCCAGCTCAGAGTTGTTACTAGTGTTCTTTTTTGGCAAGTCCAGTTCTGAGTGCCTGGGGAGTCTCTTGAAACTCGAGCGCACGTGTGAGAGAGGATCTCAGCTGGCCTGCCAGGAAAGCGGAACGCGGTGGCTGGCCTCTTGCATTTTAGGTCTTAAGTGCCTCAACCTGTGTGCAAAGAATGGTTGTAGTAAGAAGGGGGCACCAGGCCGGCTAACACTGAGACCTACGCTCTGGTGGCCCCGGGCAGCGGACTCCATGACCTTCTCCCACTTTGGGAACTGTTTCACCCCGGCCTTCTTCATCACGTCCAAGTGCAGCAGCCTGCCGAGTACCAGGCCGTCTGGAAGCGCATGCCGGCTGGGGTCACCTACCTCTTCGTGTAGCTGCATGAGATGCTGTTCCTGGCCACCGGGGAGGTGGCATCTGTGACTTCACTGGGGAGTTCATAAAGGCCAGTATGGATGTGCAGGTCTGATAGGCCTAAGTCTTAACCGTATCCCAGAATGGAGGCAAGGGGGAGTGCAGGAGCACGGTTGCTGCCCTAAAAATTAAAAAGGAAGGAAGGAAGGAAGGGAAGAAAGAAAAAGGAAGGAAGGGAGAAAACGTTTGTAAGCAAGTTGGTGGCAGTAGTGTTAGGGGAACTGGGGTCTCCTGCTATCTTTCTTCGTGCACTTCTAAGCGATTCACCCCTCCCCTTCATCCCAAGGAGTCTTCCCTCCACTGCATTTCAGGTAATTTCCCAGAGAGCTTCCTTTTTCCATCCTATGTCTAACCTGTTCCTAAGTTCGTTTTTTTTGTTTGTTTGTTTGTTTGTTTGTTTGTTTGAAGATTCTCTTGCAATGTCCCTCAGCTCTTGGATAGAAAAATGTCAGCTACTTAATCTTTTTTTTTTTTTTTAAGATTTTATTTATTTATTTGACAGAGATCACAAGTAGGCAGAGAGGCAGGCGGAGATAGAGGGGGGAAGCAGGCTCCCCGCTGAGCAGAGAGCCCGATGCGGGGCTCGATCCCAGGACCCTGGGATCATGACTTGAGCTGAAGGCAGAGGCTTTAACCCACTGAGCCACCCAGGCGCCCCCAGCTACTTAATCTTTTAATGAAATACAAGATCAAATACTTTGAAGTACTTATTGTCTATTCAGGCAGTGAATGTACTTAGTTCCTGACAAGTTTTAACTTAGCCCCACCAGCGCCCTATGAGGTGCAGCCACTTTACAGATGAGAAAACAGGCATAGAGATCACTTAACATTGAGGTAGAAATTAGTAAATTTCTTATTATGGAGTTTTCCTATATTGTGCTTGGATGATCTGTGAATGTGGTCCCTTGGTTGGTTGTCTTCCTCAGCTTGGATGGGGATGAGGATAGTAGATCTTCCTTTCCTCCCTTCGCCGCCAAGCAGGCGTGAACAGTCCCAGCTGACCGTCAGTCTTCTGAAATTCTCCCTCTCACGTACTTGCCACTGGCCCATGCAGGCCCCCATAGACTGGCTCTTTTCTGGCTTTTTTTTTTTTTAAGTGTATATATTTATTTATTTGCTTGCTTATTTATTTATTACTATTATTACTTTTAAGTAGGCTCTATGCCCAGGGTAGAGCCCAATGTGGCGCTTGAACTCACAACCCCAAGATCAAGACCTGAGTTGAGATCAGGAGTCAGACGTTTAACCAACTGAGCCACCTAAGCGCCCCTATTTATTTTTTTAGTAATCTCTGCACCTAACATGGGGCTTGAACTCACAACCCTGAGATCAAGAGTTGCATGCTCATCCAACTGAGCCAGCCAGGCGCCCCTCTCTTCTAGGCTTTTAGAAGGACCCGATACAAGCTTTACTCAGGACACGCTGAATAGCAAACTGAAGAAGGTATCTGAAGGCCTGGAAGGGACCAAACACAGTACTGTGATGCGGGTCCTCCGAGTGGCCCTCAGTGGACAGCTGGTAAGTGGGCAGATGGGCTGGATGATTTCCTGGAGCCCCTCATACATCCATTCAGCTGACATTCACTGGCTGGCAGTAAGCTCTGATTCAGGGGTACAAAGACAAATGACGCGGGGTCGTTCCCTTCAGTCATTCAGCAGATAGTATTTATGGAGTGCCTACTGTGCGCAAGCACCATGTCGGGTACAGTGGGCACAGCAGTGAATGAACAACACCCACTCCTGGCCTGCATGGAGCTTGCCATTGATGGCCAGGGGTTGGGGGGGACGGGGAGTGGGGGGCGGGGGGTACAAGAGCACAGGCAGAAAGTAAAGACAGTAGAAGGTTAACTGTGCCCCTTGGGGTACAGGCAGCAGCACTGGGGTTCCCTGGGGCAGAGCACTTGCAGACAGAGGCTGGGCATTTGCTCATTTGGCAGCTTAAGGCAATGAGGCAATGTTTTCTCTTTTCATTCTTAGCAAGGACCGCCTGTAGCTGAGATGATGGTGTCCTTGGGAGTGAGGGAAGTGCGGGAGCGACTACAAAAGGTGCTTTCCAGCTAGAGAGAAGATGTGCAGGAGAGTGGAGACGGCCCTAGGAACCTGGGCGGGCCTGGAAGCCGCCTTCAGAGGGAAGCTTGTGAAAGGAACCCCGAGTGGAAACAGTCTCCAAGTGCACACGCTGCTTTTATGGCTTCTTCTCATCTCATATCTGGTTTGGACAGCACATTACATGGCACCGGTTAGGGGCTGGTTCACAGTTGTCTCAGGCTGCCAGACAAGTGGCTTAAACAACAGAAAATGGTTTTCTCACAGTTCTGGAGTCTGGAAGTCCAAGGTCAAGGTGTCAGCAGGTGGGGCTTCCCAGAAGTCTCTCTCCTTGGCTTGCCCACGGCCACCTCTCTGTGTCCTCACGGGGACTCTCTGGGTGTTCACATCTCCTCTTAAAGGGACATGGGTCAAGTTGGAGTGAGGCCCATCCTGATGGCCTAGCTGTAACTTAACCACAACTTTAGGGGTCCTGTCTCCACATCCAATCATGTCCTGAGGTCCTGGGGGTTAGGACGTCAGCATGTGAGTGTTGAGGGGATGCAGGTCAGCCCTTAACAGTGTGGCAGCTTCCTGGACATTGGGTCTCGGTTCTCGGGGCCTATTGGGATGTGGAGCAGGGAAGGGTACCTGGTGCATGCAGGGCTGAACTGGATGGCAGACCCTCTGGGGCGTGTAAGAGGAGAAGTGACCGTCTGCCGAGGGTGAGCACTGCGTTTTATACTGCTCTTTGTCCTTGCACGTGGGGCATCCTGTCTCTCCTTCTCTAAAGGTCATCTCTTTCTCGTCTCAGTTCTCTAGGATTTGTCCTTGGACTGGAGACCTTCACCCTGCCTCTTTCACAGGTTTTTCTTCATGTCCACCTCTTCCTTCTGCCCATCTTTGTAAGTCTTCGTCTACAGGTTTCTGAAATAAGATGTTCTTTTTATTTATTTATTTAAGTAATTTCTATGCCCCAAATGAGACTCAAATTTACAACCCCAAGATCAAGAGTCACATGCTCTTCCAGCTGAGCCAGCCAGGCACCCCTGAAGTAGATGTTCGTACTGCGGTAAATAGAAATGGAAGGAAGATGATGGCTGTGTATAAAGACCGTACTGGAAAAAGAATAAATAAAATAGCAATTTTTTTAAAGATTTTATTTATTTATTTGACAGACAGAGGTCACAAGTAAGCAGAGAGAGAGGAGGAAGCAGGCTCCCTGCTGAGCAGAGAGCCTGATGTGAGACTCGATCCCAGGACCCTGGGATCATGACCTGAGCTGAAGGCAGAGGCTTTAACCCACTGAGCCACCCAGGTGCCCCAAATAACAATTTTTTTTTAAAAAGACCTTACTGGGGCTTCTGTAGAGTTTCCCCATGTGGCAGCCAGCCTCCAAGTGAGAAACATGGTAGTCCATCCCCATTTAGTTTCCACAACTCTGTGAGAGAGGTATTCTTATTTGTGTTATAAGTAGGGAAACTGAGCCTCAGGAGTTAATGAACTGTCCCGAGGTAATAATGTGAGGCAAAACAAGGATTTAAACTCAGATTTATGACAATCCAGGGTCAAGTTCAACTCTTAACTGCAGAGTGACATCAGAGCCTCTGCTTCTACAACACAAAGCACAGTTACAAGAAACTGGCTCATGAGTTGGTAACGCTGCTGCCACTATCTCAGTTGGAGGGAGCTGTATACAAATGGCATGTGTCTTCAGACGGGGGGGGGCGGTTTGCTCAGTATCGTGGGTATGTGTGAAGGGACTCCACACATTAGAAATAACCTCAAGTCCGTCACCCTGTGCTTCTGAGAGCATAGTCAAGTGGTAAAGGCCATGGAGGCCAATTACTAGATCCAAAAGCCAGTTCTACCACCTACTCACCATGTGACTTCTGTACCTCAGTTTCCTCATCTGTAAAATGGGGCTGGTAAGTTTTCCTTTCTCAAAGAGTTGTAAGGACCAAAATAGATGTTATATGGAAAGTTCTTAAAATTGCCTGGCACTTGGGGAGCCTGAGCTCAGTCGTTAAGCATCTTCCTTCAGCTCAGGTCCTGATCCCAGGGTGCTTTGGGCTCTCTGCTCAGCAGGAACCTGCTTCTCTTTCTGCCTGCCTGCCTCTCTGCCTACTTGTGATCTTTCCCTCTGTCAAGTAGATAAATAAAATCTTAAAAAAAAAAAAACAACTGCCTAGCACTTAACCAATGTTAACTATTACCATCATCATCACCACCAGTATTTTCATTCTTAGAAAGGGCGATCTTGTTTGCAAAGCATAGAAACACTCAGACTAACTTAAAAAAAAAAAAATTATTTATTTATTTGAGAGAGAGAAGGAGCAGGGGGAGGGGCAGAGGGAGAGGGAGAAGCAGCACCCCGCTGAGCTAGAAGCCCAACACAGGGCTTGATCCCAGGACCCAGAGATCTGATCTGAGCTGAAGGCAGATGCCACGCAGACTCCCCTCCTGCCAGGCTAACTTGAACTGCAAAAGGAAGAGAGAGTTAGGACTCTCAGAGATCCAAACGGGAGGACTTCCAGCTAGACCTTTCAAGAGACTGAAATCTGTACCTGCCAACCTGCTGGGACCCAAGAACCTCAGTTTTGTCCCTCTGAGACCACAGTCTCTTTCAGCTGGGTCCCCTCCACTTATCTTCCCTCTGCAGGCCAGCTTTCTCTTTCTCTCTGTACTTTGCCAGCAACTGCCCCAGCTCTAAAGCCGAATTCTCTGTTATCCTACATTCCCAGTTAGATAACTAGCATTCCATGTCCATATTCCCAGGAGGAATCTCATGGGCCTCTTTAGGGTCAGCTGTCTACCCACGGTTCAGTCAACTGTGGCCAGTGGGACAGTCCCGCAATCGCACCGTGGCTGCAGGGGGGCCCACCGTACTGAGTAGGGAGACTGGTTCCTTCCCCTCAGCACATTCTCTTGTCACTCAGGATCTTTTCTAGAAAATGATCGTTCTGTAACCACATTTGGAATTTCATTCCCATTGCCTTTATCCTACTTTGTCTCTACATAATACTTATTACTATACGAAATTACGTAATATACTTGAATGTGTTTACTGCCTCCCTTGCTCTAAAGAACATAAGATTAAGACGGGCAGGCAGTCTGTCTCATTCTTGGTTATAACCATAGTGCCTGGCCTATTGCCTGACACACAGTAGGGAATCAAGTGAAGATCTTAAAGAAAAAATAAGGGCCCCATCAGTCAGACCAGTGTGTTTAGAAGTGGCAGTCGTCATCTGGTCTAACTGCCAAATTCTAATAGTTTCCCAACATCACTGCAAGATTTGCAATTGTGGTTAGCAGACTGGTCTGCGGCCTGTAATTTGCTTTGAACCCAGCTATCTGTGAGGCATAGCCTTTTTTCTTTTTTTTTTTTAAGATTTTATTTCTAAGTAATCTCTATACCCTACATGGTGCCTAGACCCACAGCCACAAGATTAAGAGTCACATGCTCTCCTGACTGAGCCAGCCAGGCGTACCTCTATGAGACAGACTTTGGACAAAGACTCTGAAGTGAAGGGTGGGGACAAATGGAAGTGGTCTAGTCATCAGTTAATATATTCGTCATATGACAAAATCGCTACCTTCCCAGGGCCCGAGAGTGTTGAATACTTAGAAAGTGAGTACCCTCTGGGTGATAGCAGGGTCCAGAGAGGGAGGCTTTTATTTATTTATTTATTTATTTATTTATTTATTTAATTTTATTTATTTTTAAAGATTTTATTTATTTCTTTAACAGCAGAGATCACAAGTAGGCAGACAGGCGGGGCGGGGGGGGGGAAGCAGGCTCCCCGCTGAGCGGAGAGCCCAATGTGGGGGTCAATCCCAGGACCGTGGGATCATGACCCGAGCCGAAGGCAGAGGCCTCAATCCACTGAGCCAAACAGGCACCCCATTTTGGGGTTGGTTTTTTTTTTTTTAGATTTTATTTATTTATTTATTTGATAGATCACAAGTAGGCAGGCAGAGAGAGAGGGAAGCAGGCTCCCCACTGAGCAGAGAACCCGATCCAGGACTTGATCCCAGGACCTTGAGATCATGACATGAGCTGAAGGCAGAGGCTTAACCCACTGAGACACCCAGGCACCCCCAGAGGGAGCTTCAGGGGTACCAGAAGCTTTATAGATGAAGTGACCTTTGAACAAGGTTCTAAGGGATGAGTAGGAGTTTCCCAGGTCCGTGGGGGTTGGAAGGGTATTCCGAGTAAAAGGAGGAAAGGAGAACTTCATAAAGATGAGCATGGTTGGAAGTAAGGGTAGGAGTTGAGGGGGTGTAGAAAGTGGCTGAGAAACCAGGCAGAGGGAAATTCCAAATGGCCTTTTTTTTTTTTTCTTTAAGATTTTTCTTTATTTGACAGAGAAAGAGCATGAGCAGGGGGAGGGGCAGAGGGAGAAGCAGGCTCCCCGCTGAGAAGAGACTACCCCACCCCCCGCAGCCCCAGTGTGGGTCTCAATCCCAGGCCCCTGGGATCATGACCTGAGTTGAAGGCAGACACTTAACAAACCGAGCCACCCAGGCGCCCCCCAAAATGGCCCTTCTTTGCCAGGTTAAGGGTATCAGGGTACACCATCTGATGGAAATAGCAACAAAAACAACTGAGATTCAAACCAGCTTAAAATAAAATCTAGTATTTCATGTAACAGGAAGTTCAGGAGGTAAGGCAGGCTCTAGGGTTGGTTAATTAAACGTTCAGTGACGTCAGTAAGGACCCCAGGTCTCTGCATTTCCATCTCTGCTGTATTGGCCCCAGCCAATAGCCTTGGGTTGGTTTCCTGTGCTGACAATTGGCTTGCCTTAAGAGCTTGGGCCTCTCTGCACTTCCTCCTTTGTGTGCTGTCAGAGATCGTGGCTTTCTGCAGGTCTCCCTAAATGCAAAGAAACTTTTCTCCAAGCACCCTTTACTGCTTTACTTCCCCATTCTTGAACTTCTGGGGAAGGAGGGGAAGGCATCTGCATAGGTTGGTCAGACTCAGAGCTGGGGGCAGGGCAAGCTCTTCCCTGAGGTACATGGCTGGGTTGGGGAGCCCTGGGCACTTGAACACAGTGCGGGTTCTCTTAGTGAAGACATGAGTTAACTCTTGGGGAGATGGAAGGTGAGGAGCCTTTGAAATGTTTTGAGCAGGGAAGCGACATGATCGGATTATTTGAAAGCTCCTCCTGAGAGCTTTGCTGCTGTGAGATGTGAGCGGAACCAGACCAGAAGCAGGGAGACTTGATAGGAGATGATTGGAAAATGAGGCACGAAGGAGGGCTGTGGTCGGGATGAAGCCACACTTCCTCATCACAGCCTGACCCTGGTCTATCTCCCCAGCTGCACTTCACGCCTCACAGCCCCTCACGTGCCCTCTTGCCTGGCTCCAACCACAGAAGCCATCCCGAGGTCCCCAGCCACATCTCCTTCCTGCCTTCGTACTACTGTTCTCTGCGACTGGAAGACCTGTCAACCCGCTCTTCTCTGGCTTTGCCTGGTCACCTCCTTCCGAGCCTTCAGATCTCAGCTCCACTGTCACGGCAGGGAAGCCTCTGACTTATTCCCAGCAGGTCTTCCTGTTGTCTTTCATCAGCAGCACCCTCTTCTTTTCCAAAGCACCCAACTGGAATTGATTCCGTGACTGGTTGGGTGTGTAAGGAGTTCTGCGGTGATTTGCTGGTGTCAGTAAGGTCCAGGAGGATGAGGCCTCCTGTCTTCACCATTGTACCCCTGGTGGTGAGAATAGCTCTGCTTCACACGGTGGCTGCCCAGAGACACTGTCGAGTCAAAGACCAGATCCACCTCTGATTGGATCAGATGGTCAGGGTGAGCAGTCAAGTGCACAGGTGCTGGCTTCGCCGAGGTCCCTATGTTTAGCAAGAATGCTGCAGTGTCCAGGAACTTCACATCACTGGGGGTAACTATTTTCATTAGTGAATCACAGGAAATGAATGTGGTTTTTTTTTTTTTTTAAATTTGGAAGGCAATACAAGTTTGTCTTGGCACTTGTGCTCATTATCATGGCCTGGGGGATCTCCAACTTATCCTTTATAGCTGGGCCAAATGTTAGGGCCACGGCCTTTTCTTCTAGGCCCGAGCCCCCTCAGCTCTGCCCCCTCCCACCACTTCCCCAAACCTGATGGCAGTAGGACAGCCCAACCAAAGAGGGGAGGCTTTCATCACCTGAGGAACACCTCTAAACGGAGTCTATTCAGTCCTGGCTTTATTCATTCATTTGACAAATACCTGTTGTGTGCCAGGCCCTCTGATGCCTGGGGATGTGGAGAGGAATAATAAAGTCTCATTAATTATAGACGCTCAGGGGTGCCTGAGGGGCTCAGTCTGTTAAGCGTCTGCCTTCCGCTCAGGTCATGATCCCAGGGTTCTGGGATTGAGCCTCACGTTGGGCTCCCTGCTCAGCAAGGAGTCTGCTTCTCCTCCTCCCCCCTCCCTCTATCCCTCCCCCTGGTCCTGTGCCCGTGTTCTCTCTCGCTCACTCTCTCAAATAAATAAAATCTTTAAAAAATGATAGACACTCAGTCGACAGGAGTTTCTCACCCCCAATTATTTCTATGTCTATGTATGTATTTACATTTGTTAAGCTTTAAAAAAAAACAAAAGAGAAGGTCCCCCACCTCAGAGAGCATCTCAGTAAGGCGGGTGTGTAGCTCATGGTGGAGAACCAATGGAATTGCTACAGGGATATGGAATCCCTGGGTGCGGGGGTGTGGGGGGGAAGCCAGTCAGGGAACGTTTTCTTTAAAATGAGTTGGGTTTTACCTTTTGATTTCAATTTCAGATAAATATTGAGTAATTATTTAGCATAAGTATGTCCCAGGCAATATTTGGGACATACTTGTACTAAAAATTTGTGTGTGTGTCTGAAATACAGATTTAACTGGGCTTCCCTTATTTTTATTGGTTAAATCTGGCAGCCCCACACTGAGGTAGTTTGACAGACAGCAGAGGGAGGTCGTTCCAGGCTGAGGGAACAAGACATACAAAAGAAAGGACTTGAGGTACAGTTACTTCCCATCTGGTGTTTAAAGCTAGATAGGGAGAGCCAGAAGATTCCGGTTCCACCAATAATTATTTTCCATCTATAAAGTGCAGAAGTTCAATGGTATAGAAACCCAGCCCCTGTCCTGACCTCCCAGTCCACTTCCTTACTACCCACTTACCCTTTTATCTCTCTGTTACAGTCCCTAGGCCAACGGCATCAGCATCGCCTGGAGACTAATGAGAAAGACAGATTCTTGGGCTTCACCCCAGACCTACTGAATTAGAAACCGTGTGGGCTGGGCCCTGCATGATGTGTGTTTTTTTTTTTAAAGATTTTATTTATTTATTTGATAGAGATCACAGGTAGGCAGAGAGAGAGGGCGGGGGGGAAGCAGGCTCCCTGCTCAGCAGAGAGCCTGATGTGGGGCTCGATTCCAGGACCCTGGGATCATGACTTGAGCTGAAGGCAGAGGCTTTAACCCACTGAGCCACCCAGGCGCCCCTGCATGATGTGTTTTAACAAGCCCTCCAGGTGATTCTAGCAAAGGCCCATTGGAAAATTACTGATCCACAAGTCAGAATGTTGAATGAGTGCGGTTGCTTAAAATCAGTAACATAAGTCAGGTGTAAGAAGTATTGGCAGTGATGGATGGTCCCTGGCTGATGGACAGCTCCTGCCCCTCCGTAGGGCGCAGTCTCCAGTCATCTCCAGACATATGTTGCAATGAGGAAACGCTGCTCCAGTGTCACCAGGTGTTTAGGATTTTCAAGAGATGAACAAGGGTTAAAGATTTTATTTGACTCATTAGTGAAGATACTGAGGCGATGTTACAACCAGTTCAAAGGAGAATCCATAGGACACACATATTTATAGATCAGGAGTATTGAAATGGAGGCAAACTGGTTTTTCCACATGAAGCAGTTTGTATCTTCCCAGGACAAGTCATTTGCATGCTTATAGACAAGAATAATTTTTTTTAAAGATTTATTTATTTGACAGACAGAGATCACAAGTAGGCAGAGAGGCAGGGAGAGAGAGAGAGAGAAGCAGGCTCCCCACCGAGCAGACAGCGGGACTTGATCCCAGGACCCTGGGATCATGACCTGAGCCAAAGGCAGAGGCTTTAACCCACTGAACCACCCAGGCTCCCCTAGACAAGAATAATTTTTAATTGCTTTCAGTTATCTACAGTTTACAGAGATTACCATAATTCCCAAAGAACCAAATACAGAGAACATGGAAGGGTCTGCTACAGATAGTGCAGTTTCTTTGAAAAACAAAGTTTCCCCTATATGAATAATGTGGTAGGTGGAAGCTGTCCCCCGAAAATTCGTTATGTTGAAGCTCTAAGCCCCTATGTGCTGGTATTTGGAGGTGGGACTTTGGGAGTTAATTAGTTTAGATGTGATCACAAGGGTGGAGCCCTCATGAAGAGATTAGTATTTTTATAAGAGGAAGAGACCACAGTGCTCTCTCTATCCCTCCCTCCGCTCCCTCCCCCTTGGAAGCACGTGGCAATATGGCAGCCCTCTGCAAACCAGGAAGTGGAGTCTTACCAGGGACCCCGTCTGCAGCACCTTATCTGGGACTTCCCAGCCTCCAAACCTGTGAGAAAATGCTTGTTTAGGCCACCGAGTCTGGGGTATTCTGTTACAACAGCCCGAGTTAAGACAGGTAACAACTGTAAAAGGTTTAGTGTAGAAGCTGGCAAACAGCTTTCATGACAATTTCCATGTAGAGAGATGCTATGGGCAGCAGTCAGACGGAGATGTGTGTAGCTGACTTATGCTGAAACTCCGACAACACCATGGTGATAAGACTGTAAATTTACTCAGGGGTAGGGATGTCACTGGGCCACAAAGGTACAAGAGCCCCTGGCTCTGAGGGTCCCAAACAGCTCAGGTGTGCTTCATCACTACCGATAAAATCCAAAGGCAGAGAGATGGTGGCAATGAAGCAAGAAAAGGACATATTACAGTGAGGCCAGCACGGGGAAGGGAGTGGAGTAACATCTCAAAGAATATCTCCAAAGTACTGAAAATACTTCCAGGTTTGTCTAAGCAAAATGTGGGGCAATGGTGGGCAGAGAAGTTCAGGTCATCAATGACGATGATTAGGGTCAATCACAGGATCTTGTTGGCCCAAGGCAATCCCTACTTCTGGCGGGGGTAGTGTTGGTTCCCATCGCAGGATGCTTTCTGTGTGGGGGGCCATTTGCCACAGTTAAGAGATAAGCTGGAAAGAACTTAACCAACTAGAAAGTACAGACTGAGGTCAAGATGGAAGTGAAGTCCTTGTTGAGAGACAGGACCTAAAGCCATATAGCTACCTCTTACTACTACTAAGGTTCATTTGGCCATTCAACAAATCTTGAGTGGCACTCTTGTGCTAGGCACTATTCCAGGTACTGGGGATATGGATGTGTACAGAGCAGTTTTTGCTTTTAGTAGTAGGGTGAAACAGGCAATGGAGTATAGACCATTAGTTCTTCGAAGGAAAATTATCATTGTCTAGATAGCATGGCCTTTCATTGTCTCACGGACCTCCTATAAGAGGTTACTCATAGATATATAGTAATGCAAATTATTCTGCAAGTTGGATGGACAGCCCCCACTGCTGATGGAAAAGTTAGTTTTGTATCCATTTATCCATGTGTTCCAACATTCCTTTATTCTGTACACATTAGCCTTTTCTTTTTAAAAATTTAAGTAATCTCTTTACCCAATGTGGGGCTTCAACTTTCAACCCGGAGATCAAGAGTCTTACACTCTACCGACTGAGCCACCCAGGTGCCCCCAACACTTTCTCTCATTTAAATGAATTATATCATCACATCTCCTCAGTTCCCCTCATTTATTTTTATTTTGTTTAAGATTTTATTTATTTATTTGACATGCAGAGAGAGATCACAAGTAGGCAGAGAGGCAGGCAGAGAGGGGGGAAGCAGGATCCCTGCTGAGCAGAGAGCCCGATACGGGGCTTGATCCCAAGACCCTGAGATCATGACCTGAGCCAAAGGCAGTGGTTTAACCCACTGAGCCACCCAGGTGCCCCAGTTCCCCTCATTTAATTAAAGAGTTAAGGGGCGCCTGGGTGGCTCAGTGAGTTAAAGCCTCTGC